CTCCTCAATTGTTACATACTCCCCATCATCTGTTTTACCCATGAAGACTTTCTTGTATGAAAAGGCTTCACCAAAATCTGTTATTCCATCTTTGACAATTTTTTCATTTAGCTGTGAAGCAAAATTTTTTGCCAAATAATGCATTTGTACTGATTTCTGTGCATGTGTTTGTTCTGTCTCGTTAGTTTCTCTAATTACGTCTACAGCAGTGGTCAGGTACTTCTTCACTACCCATGTTGTTTCTTCAAAGCCAGCTGTTATACTTGTGGCCTTAAAGGCTTCCCTGAATCCACCAGTAGCAAATGGCAATTCTTCAATCATGAACTCTGCTTTAATGGGTACACTTGACCAACGCATGTGTTTGAAATTAAATTGAAAAATTGATATAATGGTTGACTCCTTCTTTGGAAGGGCTTTTCCCAGGTGCAGCATATCTTTAACGGATAAACTTTTAGGGTACTTGCTTGAATTGTCATGTTTGGATGAAGACTTTTTAGGGCTTGGCAAAGACATAGCACGTCGCTTAGCTTTCTTTGGTGGCTATATAGTGAATGATGTAAACATAAGAAACCATTTACAAAAAAACGCCCGAGGGAATGGGGGCAATGGTGGCTTGATAATGGGGGGTGCAGATAATAATTGGAATAGCCCAATTGGGAAGGACTTCTAAAATTTCCTTAAATATGACGCAAGTTGGTAGGGACAAAGCAAAACTCTAGATGGTCAAGATTATTGTTATTAGTGTAAATGTATATTGAAATACCTGGGTAGATTCATGATCATCGGCTTCTTCATCTATTTCGTTTGGAGCTTCGGGTTTAACAAATCTCACGTAGAATACCTTAATATCTGGAATTTGGTTCATGTTTTTACAAGATGGGCCACGTTCTCCCGCGAGGATGTCACACACCATGCCTTTTTTCAATGTGCTTAGCGAAATACTTTTGACAAGATTCAACTATGTTTTCGAATGTCAACTCATCGTGTTCAAATGGAACAAACTCTTGTGGGCCAATTCGAGTATACTTCTGCTGTTTTCCTGTCACTTCGGAGCTCATTCTCTGAACTATGATTTCGTCCTTCAAATCCTTTGACTCTCCTTTGCCTTTCTTCCCTGGTTTTGCCATTCGTTTTTCACGTTGCTTGATCTTAAACTGTCTCCAATCCGACATTTTGTCATATTGTGATGTTTGCAATTTCCATGTGCTCGATGAATTGATTGATACAGTAGGTGATCGGACTACATATAAGGATAAAAAATTTTTCACGCGCGCATGGCATCATGGTAGTGGCAGCGCTCGGCCACAGAGAAATTTACTTTTATTTTTGTTTGCATTTCACTTTGAATATAACTTTAGTTTTCGGTTGAAGTTGTATTTGGAATGAACTTTTATTTTGAATTGCTTTAGCTTTCGCATTTCAAATGAAAAAAAATTTAACTTTATTTGAGTTTGTGAGTGGTATTTACATTTACTTTTACATTAACATTTTATTTTACTTTAATTGTCTTTAATTTTTGAATTTCAATTTGTAAAAATCTGAACATTTTTAAGTGGCAACGCTCGGCCACCATATATGAGTAACAAATGTTCACGTGAAACATTTTACTGGAAAAGTACTCAGTTTGATTTGTTTGAAATTTGAACCTAAGTGGCTATAAATATTAAAGTTGGTGATCATTTGAAAGATCTACACGAAATACGCGTAACTGGATTCCTATTTTGCGGTTTTAGGCTAAACATATGTTTTGAAGCTATTATAAAAGTGCAAGAGAACAACGCTAATCCGCTACTACAATGCAGAAACCAACGGCAACACCTATCTTCATGAATAGATAATTACGATATATAGCCTTTAGTTTAATAGGGCCTCGGATAGATAAGAAATCGAAACAATGACATCGCATCATACATCGGTACTCTTCACTACCTATACACTCGCCAGCATTCCACGGTAAATTTGAACACGTCCGCGTACTGTCAAGACTCTTAACTCACTACAACTAGAAACTTATTCGTCTGAATGGTCCGTTGTGTCAATCAAACACGATGAAATTTATGTCTCAATATAAAGGCAAAGATAAAGGCGAAGATTTGTACATTCACCAGATTTTCAGTATCTCTTGGTTAGTTGGTTAGACCATAGGTTTCACCCATAACCCGCGTCTGTAAGCAGATCCAAGCGTTCAATCCGGTGAGAACTTCAACTGACCAGTCTCTGCTTTTAATATGTGCTTAACTCCTACTGAGTCGGAACCTTTGTTTGTTAAGGTTCATTTTGGAAATTTGTCGGACCAATTTCAGGTTTTTCTACTGAAATACTAATGACGATTGACGAAGCCTTTATTTTAGTACCGGATCATGTCGTGAGTTAACGTTTACTTATAGTATTTTTCCAAATATCATAAACGTGGATATCGACCCGATAAACAGACTAAAACAGTGTCTGTCAGTGGTTCAAACGCATCCAGATTAGTTTGTACGGACGAGATTTCGACAGGTATATACATGCATTATGCTATCTTCCGGCAAAACCGACTTAATTTGAGGTTTATAACGCGCATCAATATGACGATCCAGGGGGGAAAGTTTGTAGGTTGCGCTCACTGGCGCATGTTATTGAACCTTGATCAAATCTTCGGCGCACAAAAAACAAACTTTCCACCCTGGATGACGATATATATATATTTCAATATTTGCCTATATAGGCCGTCTGCGTTTCAGATTGATCCACTGAAGCATGGTGACATATCTTTAGCCGTTCAGGAAATTAAAGCCGACTGTCGATGATGATGCAATTTTTAGGGGCGCCACTACAAGCACTATATCTACATTTACAAACAGTCTTGAGTAGAATAAACGTACTTTTGGCTAAAACCTGCAGTGTCGCGTTACCAACGATTACCTACGTCGCATATAAATGCTGAAACACACAATGACGCCTAGGGCCAAAACTGGCGTTTCAAGTTTATTTATTCGCTAACGACGTAGTTTGCATACGCTCTGAATTTATTTCGTAACCCTGTATAACTTCAATGACAAATGTGGCGAAAGTTCAAATTTTTACAAACATTTATAAAATTTCATAAAAGCTTCTGTTGGTTATGATTACGATTAAATTGAGATACATTTGACTACACTTTACATGGCGGATCTTGGAACACGAGCGGTGCCGCTGGGCGAAGGCCACTAGATATTAAGTTCAAGATTATATGTATTAAGACACAATGTAACATACCTCAACGTTTGCAAACTCTCTGATGAGTAAATACTGTTGTGTCCATCACTCCATTTAACATTTAACTGACTCGAGTTGATATTCGCTGATTCTACTGCTACATTTAGGTCCAGTTCTTTTGGTGCAAACATATGGCGAGCATTTTTTAACGGTTGGAAACACTGCGAACAACTACAGTTCTCTCGAAGATAAAAATGTGGAAATTCATCCACTTTTCCGTCATTCCACTGAACAGCTAAAAATTGATCGTTGTTTTGGCTTATACTTTGTGCTACAGGCTGGGATGAACTCAACCTAGTAGCACTTGACAAGCCTTGGTTTTTACGGAAAAGTTGACGAGCTACAAATCTGAGCATATCTACACCGAGAAACACTTTCTGTCACAGACTCATTCGAAAGAGGACCTAATTATAATGAAGTGAACTCAAGAAAAACGGAGAGTTTTTATTACACAATGATACCGGCCAAACAGGTTACTTTGGTCTGTGTTAACCAATCGTATTTTACGGCATATTTATTGAGTAATTATTCCATCTCCAACAGTAGCCTTAATGTATTCATCTGATTGTGGTTGGGGCCTGTTAGACTTTGTACTCTGACGTACATGAACATGTTACTTCAAATAGATATATAATCTTTTATAATTTTTACACTACAACGTTAACTTCTGAAATAGTTTTGTTACGCGGCAACAATAGCTGCTGTCTGAGTGTATTCATGGATGGGAGAAATTCGTTTACAGTAGCGACGCGAAGCAACACGTGAAGGGGCAGCGGGAAATATCCAGTAAAATTACGGGGAAAATCCTAAGCACTGCAGTTCCTGCATTCCGGGCATAAACAGATTTTCGATTAATTAAACATTTTTATATCACCATGAAGTTATAGTTTAAAATATTAAACCCTCAGTAAAAGACATTTGTTTTAAAATAAAGCAAAATCTGTAGATCTCTTTATGGCTTACGCCCTCACATGCAAGCTCTGCTTCACGGTATAACGGTCCTAGGGGTGTATTTGATGAAATTTGCCACAGGTTTTAAAGATGCGGTAAAGTCCGTTCTGCGCATATATTCTGCGCATCAAAACATTCCGTCAGTGGGGGAGCAACCTTTGGAATATTGTTAATATTTCGCACCTTCCGAACTTTCTTGAATTGAATCTCTAGTCTATATTCATTTACAAGCATAACGAACCAGAAAAGTGTTAAAAATTCAGTATAATATATATCTAATCATATTTTACAACTGTAGCAGTGAGTTCAAAATGTAAACAAAGCGTTTGTTTACATTACGGACTTTACATCACCTTTAAAAATTTTTGGAGATTTTGATACGGTTTTTTTGTTCCTTTGGCAGGATTTCGCGATTTTTTTATTTCCGAGGAACGATATAAGGATTTTTGGAGTTTACTAATATACACCCCTCGTCATATACATCTTGCTTGACGTAACAGTCGGATAGCGATAAGAGTGCCAGTTTGCTATAAAATTTGGTTCACCACGCTTGACGGCTTGCGCAATAGCCAAACTGATTGTCTATAACAGTGTTTCCACAACCGCTTGGTCAAAAATCCTTTTACAATCTCCAAAATTCCTTTTTTCCCACAAAATTTCCTTGCCACCCGAACGGTGGAACTGAAGTCAAGAAAATTCAGGCAAATTTGAGGCAAATATATCATAGACCCTACGAGAAATCGAGCATCATTATATTGCCTGAAAATTTGGGCCAGCTTTCAAGTGTTCCCTCCATGAACGTATCTGCTCCACATATATGTTTATGTTCATCCAGGGGTGTAATGTGCTTGATAATGCTGGAGGGGTTGAATGGAAGAAGGCGCTGAACGGCAAATTTTGAAATTTATAGTCCCTAGATCGCCGGAAATGGCATTTTTAGATTCTTCCGTACTTCTTGTTAGACCTATACTATTTAAAAGTTGATTTTTACTCAGTTCAGTGGTTTAAGACTTGCAACTGGTATAAGTTACAGAATCCTTGCAATTTCCTTTAATTTTTGTATTTTTCCTTGCCATTCCCTTGTAAATTTTATTTCCTTGTAAATTCCATGCAAGGACCAATATTTCCTTGCTGCAGGGAAAAATCCTTGCAAGTGGAAACACTGTTGTCTAACTTAACCCTGGCGAGTGGAGAATTTCCAAAGCGTGACATGAGTCACGACCGAATTAGCCAAAATCATGAATTGCGCAACCGTTGCCCTTGGCATAGTGCGCAGGTCCGCGCCGTCCGCGAAATTATATAAGCGCGGATGGCAGAAATTTTTTTGGGAGCTTGGTAACCGCGCCTGTTATGATGCAACTAGGAAGCTTGTACAGCAGGAAATAGATTGCGGTCGAACTCTTTGACGCGACTTATATATTCTATATTTATTCAGATAACCGCGACGGTTTTTATGCATTTATATTCATCACGTCTTTCCGAAAGCTTTGTACCCATAAATAAAATGTAATAAAAAGAGAACACATTACAAATTTTTTACAAAATAGATCAAAATATAATAATAATAATAATAATTACAATATTTAGTCAGGGGGTCCACTCACGAAAGTGATTTTCAGTGGAGCCCTGATAAAAAAAAAATTAAAAAATAAAAGAATAAAAATATAAAAATTAACAAAAGTGAATATATGAAAAGTTATATCGTATAAAGTTCTTGCGCATCCTATCGGTTCGGTAGAGAGTCCTATATACCATAATAATCGAGATATTGAATTTTGTTTTGAATATATGCAGTATAAAGGTCATAGGTTCGTGCGTATTCAAAATATAGACATATTATTTGCAGTTCATTTAACCAGGATTTAAGTAACTGATAGAAACGTTCACATTCAAATTATTGAATTAGGTAAAATTAACTATGAATTTATTTTAAAAGATTCCCTGTTTGTATTATATTGTGCACTACTGTGTGAATGTCAGATAGTCTCGGTTGAAAACGTGATGTTTATA